ACCTGCAACTTTGAGTTCTACAGCACGCAAGCACCTCAAGTTCACCTCCAGCAGGACACCCCCCAAAGCTCTTGTGAGTCTCCTGAGAGTAGGTTCGTTCCAGAGATTAAAGGGTAGCCCTAGAAGCTTGATCAGAAGACTACCAGCTTTTGGCTCTACTTCGTTGCAAACTGGAACCCAGTTTTGAACCTGTATTAGTCTTCCTTCTACTTGGACGGTGCAAGAGTTCAATTTCTTATTGCCAACATCTAAGATGGCTTTCTTCTCTGCAAAGGGTAGTAGCGTTGCTTCTTCTTCTTCTAGGCCCAATTTCTCAGCAACTGCAACTAGTATCTTCGACCAGTCCCTTGTCGCCTTATCTGCCATTAAGACCATCTTGTTTTCCCACTTGCCTCTCCCTTCTTCGAATGCTATTCTCCAGTGTTCAGTTGAACTAGCTACCAATATTTCCGGACTTTGATTCTTATGAGGCTCCGGGGAACAAGACTTTAAGGGGACATTTTTTACTGGCTTGCTATCAGAAACTTCCACTGTAACTTTCCTCTCAATCTCCACAGGAAACGCCTGAAGACTGAGAGAAAAGGAAGCCCAGCCTTGCCCGTTTTTTCCTTCTGGAATACAAATTACTTGGCTTTTGTTAATGCCAAAGTGCTCTGTAACCGAAATAAACCACCCTTCTTAGAACAGACTCAAATCTTTTTCCCCGACAGATCACCAAGTTCCTCCATCCTTCTTCCCGGATGGAATTAACAGTTCCATCAACAAATCCTTTCAACCAAAGACACACTTCACCTGGTAGGAAGACCGTCGCCCTGCTGCCTTCTCTGATTTTCAGATGAGCCTCCTCCATTGTCCTTCCCTGCTCGAATAGGAATTTTTTTGCTTCAATGGACGACTCCACACGCCACCTCCCTGCCGGCCTGAAGTTTCTCTCCTCTCCCGTACTCCCCATCTCACCTCCCTTAAGGGGCTGCAATCCTGTGATCAGTTTGGGTGGACAAAGCCCTCACTCATTGAGATGAGGTATCACCATCTTTAACCCTTTTCTACAGATGACATTGTTAGGGGAGGGCTACAGGTTACTTCATCTTCTGCTAGAATATTGGTACAAATTACACAACACTTTGATTGGTGCAGCATCAGCAATCCAAGAATGTCAGGTAGAGGAGTATTCAGAAGTTGTGGTTAAAGCACTATATTCAGAACCCATAGGCCAAGGAAATTCAGTTACAGCTGAATGGCTTGCATGCTCCAAAAGGCAGGGCTTGGAAGATCTGTTAACTATAAAAGTTTGATTGTGGGAAGGGGATTCAAGGCTAATAGTGTAGGAGTTCGGTGGCTCAAGGATAACAGTTCAGGACCTTGGCAATATAGATACATTTTGAGGGAAGACGATCAGCTAGAAATTCAGGTTCTACATTCATTTGAACTTAAGAACTGCCAACTGCATGGCAGATGCATTGGCAAAACAAGGCAGCAACAGGACTCATTTATATTAGGGGGTTACTGAAAGTAATATTTAAATCTAAATGTAACCAAAAGAAAATAACACTACTGAGGCAGGTAGCAGGGCTACCCTAAATTCTCTTGTGGTGCTTGGCATACTTGACTTGTATATCCCAAACAGTGTTTTTTGCAAACTAATAAAATTTTCTGAGTTAGATAGAAAAACAGTAACCAATAAATCTAGAGAAGCCAGAAATTAATAAAAATAGTACATCATGATTTTACTATGGAGTCGTGAACATTAATTATGGGAATTACCATAAATAGCAAGCCTAAAAGTTACTATAGATGGTAATTTCGATTTTTACCAAGAATAGTAAGCTTCAAAGACTAAAACTTACCCTACTTGTATAGTTTTTCCTACATTATGTTACTTAGTTTTTATACCGTCATTTCTTTGTCTATATTCTCCTGTTACTAATAATAATAATGATAGTTTCATGTAATGAAGCAGAGAGCCAAGGCACTGGATATGGGAGTTCAGACTGATATTGCTGGAATTGCAGGGGAAACACCATTTGTCTTTGATTCTGGAAATTCAAAACTTCAGAAGCAAGCAAGTGCAAACCTTCTCTCTGAAAATGATGAGATTGTAATCATGGAAACTGGTGATAAATCAGTTCCTTCAAATGTGTCTCAACTGTACGAGTCCAAAATGGCTGCCCTGATAAAGAAGAATGGGATCCTAGAAGGACAGTTCGCAGCTGCATCAGCAGGCTGTGAAGCTGCTGAAAAAAATTTATCTTCTGTCATCAAGAGTAGACAGGACATGGAGAAAAAGCTAGCTGACACAATAAAGGAGGTGGAAATTCTAAAAGAGAAGCTAGCAGGTGTCGAGCTTGCACAAGAAGAGGCCAACAGCCTATCAAATATTGTCCACTCGGACAACGTAAGGCTTGAGCATGATGTGGCTTTCCTCAAGGCAATTTTGGATGACACTCAGAAGGTGTGTAAAGATATCAATCTTATGCAGTATTCTATCCAACTTACTGGTTCATATGCTTGAATTCCACATGTAAATAACCAGTAACCACTATATTAATTGGCTTGTTGGAAACATGTAGGAGCTGCACTCAACAAGGGGAGTTCTAGCAGGAGAAAGGGCAAGAGCATTCCAGCTACAGGTAAATCAAATAGTAGTTTACCTGCGTGGATGCATGTACTTTGAGTATTATGGGCCATATTGTTGTCTATCTTTAAGGCTTGGTGCGCTTGAAAATGAACCGAGCAGGATAGGCCGGGGTCCATCTACTCGCATCTTGATCCCATGCACCGTGGACCCATCCGTGCTATTTGTAACTCAGTTTTCAGTAATTCTGACCGTCTTGCAGTTTCTTTCTATATTTGTAGTTTCATAGGTACATAATTACTTTATCATTTGTGGATTTTGTAAATCCCACTGACATCCACTTAAACGCTCAGGTGGAAGTTTTTCAGCTCAAACAAAGATTGCAGACTGTCGAGAATCAAGCACCAACTCCCAGGAAACCATTTCACATGTAGGGTTTGGACAGTGATACACACCCGTTCAACCTACCCAATTGCGGAGAGACATATTTGTTAGCAGAATGCATGTATGTATCTCCTGCATCGACATTTTATCTGTATTGTATCCTGTAGGGATAAACCTGTATATATTCAAAATGTACTTTATAGATTATAAAATAGCATTCCTAGTGAAAACTGCTATGTTCCATAGCTATGTGCCTTGTCTATTTTGACTAATTGGATCTTACCTTGTGGTCTCCCCACCGTCATCATAAAGCTAGTCAACATCGGCTGATCTTATTCATTGTTAAACACGGCTAAGAATGCCCACTATTTTGCGCGAAAAAAAATAAAAAAATAAACCCTAATTTCCATCAAGTAGCATTAAACAGCCATAGGAACCCTCAATCCATATACTTTAGAAAACTAGAAATTCCAAATCGGCCATCAATATCACAAGACAACTTTTTGTTTAAAGCCCCAAAGCAGTGGAATATGAGAAGCATGACTTCAACTTCTGTTTGGTTTTCACAAATGGGTCATATGAGGTCTAAAGTCCTATTTCCATATTGAAGGTGAGAAGTGATCTTTTACAAGTCCTAAAACGGACATGGCTTAAGTAGTCAGAACTGATTCCAAGGGCCCATAATTTAACAATGGATATGGCACTTTAAAGAATGGAATGGTAGAACAAGTTCATCTAGCCTGACCTTTTATAGCTACGGCAAGGCTTTGGTGATGATAATGATGATAACTTACAAATGGAAATGAGTAATTACAACCATCAAGTAAAAGCCACGATTTTAGTGAAACGCATCTCAGGTGGTGACGTTTCCCTTCATTTGCGCCATACGGTTATTTTTGGAACTGCAATAAACAGGACATTCAATTCTGTAAAAATTTCAAGTGCTGCACAAAGCACTAATTGCTGAAATACGAGAGCTTGGTTATTCTTCATCAGGCTCTTCCTCTTCTTGGAGAAGATTTTCTCTGTTGTCATGGGCCCAGAAGCCGCGCACATCTATAAGCATGCTGGCAACAGTCCCACCTTGCTTGCAAGCAAGGAGATCAGCTACTGTTATTTTTAGTGGGTCTGATGGCTTTACCATATCCCAGATCTCATCTCTTACGTCCTCAATGCACAGCTCGTAGTTCCCTCCCTCGATCCATTTTTGGTGTACATCTCTTTGTACAGAAAAAAAAAGATATGTTTTGAGTCACCAAAGTAACATTCCATGAAATTCCATATAATTTCAATAAAGATATAATCTATGACTCAGCTATATCCAGACCACGGATGCCCAGTAATTTGAGACCTGCAGACCTAGTTCTTGAACTATTAAGTTGCAATTTACAGAGGTTTTCTGAGGAACCATCTCAGCTTTTGAATGGTTCCCATAAAATAAAATTGCCTACTAAATGTAAGGTGCCAACCAGCTGGTTGGTAAGGTCTTCTGTTGGTCGTAGCGGAGACTTGGGATCGAATCCCACCTGCACATGGGTTGGGGGGGTTACAGGTTGGGGGATGGGCTACCCCCCCCCGGTTGTGTAGCCCTTCAAATGATATAAAAAAAATGCCTAACAAATAAAAAATGAAATCTAGTAGAAAAGGACTAATAGTTAACTATTTCCAAAGCACAGATTATTAAAATATCTTGTCAACGATAACAGAAACAAATATTGTGTACTTACCTGAAAAGTGTGTGGATATCAGCTGTTGTAAGGTACCCTCTTCCATGGAGATCAAGACACCGAAACAAATATGTCAATCCTTCCGGTGTATCTTTGTTTTCCAGGGCCAAAACAAAGTCAAGAAAACTTTCAAAATCCATCTCCCGTGCATTACCACCACCACCACCATTTTTGCCACGCCGAACATGTTCATCGAATGCTGCAAAGAGGATAAAAAAGCAATTAGTAGACAAGAGACCATGGTACAACCCTACAAGCAAATGCAATTGACATTGTTGAGTAAAAAAACCAAACATTGCCAACTTAATGATGTTAAGGTAAAACACATTGAAGAGATACAATTGGGGCTGTCAATGGGTTGGGTCTACCTGACAACCAAGCCAATTATATTGGCTCTGGTTCTGTAATTTTGTCCCGATTAATAATTGGGTCGGGACTGGTTCTTTCCGTTCTGAACTGATTATATAGTTAATAATATATAAAGATTTTCTTTTTTTTGTAATTTTTGTTATATTTTATACCTGTAAGAGTACATTTCATAAGCAGTATATAAGTTAGTTATGGTTAAAAACACATTTTATCAACATATAAACAGCTTAGTATTTTAGTTTCAGTTTTATTACAGTTATATTATCAAAATGAAGATCTAAATTGTTATTATCATTGGTAATTATAGGTTCCAAGTATAGTAGGTCTAATCGGTCTTGATTAATAATCAGATCAGTTCTGGTCCTCATATTGTTTGTCCTGATTAATAATCGAAACGGGACTGGTACATCCTGTCCTGAACCAGACCCAACCCATTGACAGCCATAGATACAATGACTCATTGTCCTAAAAAACAACTCTTTGGAGCAGTGAGGGAGTATTGGTGAAGATGAATGAACATTATCAATTTAGATTCCACTCCTACCCCGCTCAATGAATATTTCTGTCAATGTACCATCTGCATATTCTCGAAGCTCCTGCTTGCTCAATGTCCCATTCATATCTTTATCTAGAGCAAGAAACATATCTGCAGAAAGCCAGATAGAGTAAGGGGCATATTTATGTAACAATTTATGAAGGCATTGATTTGGATCATTATTTTCCTGTTAAAAACCCAAAAAAGTATCATCAGGTTAATGCATGAAACACTCTATGCCGTATACATGAGCCATCATTTGGACGCAACTTTGTATAGTTCATATAATATATGTAAGAGTTGCCACAACAGGTGACAAACTGCAACCAAGGGCAATTTCCATCTTTGAGGAAGCAGGATAACATGAATTGAGGCAGAGACACCTCTGCAAATCAAGAGGACCAAAGGCTGAATCAATCCCGAATATCATTATGCCAGCAAAAGGTAAAATCAAAATTTGTTAGTGAATTTATTTCTGAAAGTGATGATGGAAAAAATCATAAACAACATAAACTTCCTTGTCTTGCTTGTCATCAAAAATAATATATAGGATCCACCACCTTTTCTTCCTTCCAATTAGATAACGAAATCAAATGTTGGGATCTGTGGTGGGTACTGGTGGGCTCAACCCTAAGCCAAAATTCCCCCACCCACCACGGCCTAAGAGACTGGGACAAAATTAAGGTTTTGGTTCTGTCCAGTATGATATCATACCAGACACGGTAGTCAAAGTCAGATTTCAGCATTAGGAAAGCATGCAGATGGCATTTTAAAATTGCTAAAATTATGTGTAAGCATTATACTATTGAATAATAGATACATAAATACGCACCACATATCCGTTGTGCAGATGTCAATGAGAACCAGTTTTCAGCTTGTTCAGTATCAGTGATTTCTTCCTCACTTTCCTAACAGATAAAGAAGTTACAGATAAAGATAAATGGGTAAATATAAGAACAATGAACACAGAATAACTTTAATAGCTACCTGAGTTGAGAACTAGTGCGCATTTAAAAAATTGTGCTGCATCTGGCACAAACATGGACATCTAAATTATGTGTAAATTAAACAAGTATTTAAGCTTACAGAAAGACTAGCTCATCTGCAAGACACCACATTATCAAATAACTATGAATCATAGTTACAGGAATATTACAAATTTCTACTATTTTCAATTGAATGTTTATATATTAAACATGGTCCAGGGAGATTTTACACCATCCAATTACTAATTCTTTCACTAGTAACAGAATCCATCCATATTGTGAACTCTATTGATCTTTATCATATATCTAAACATCCAGACTAATTTGCAATAATCATAGATTTTACTATATTATATAATACAAAGTAACTTAAAGTATATGCATATGTTTACAAACATTAAATCAGCCAAAACCTATATCATATCGCTAAATCTTAATAGCAAATGAGAGTGTGGAAGATTTAAAAAGAAAAGGGAAGAAAGGGCTGGTGTGTAAATTGGATCTAGAAAAAGCTTATGACTTGGTTGATTGGTCTGTGCTGTTGGAAGTCCTAGGGTCTTTTGGGTTTGGGCAGAGGTGGTGTAAGTGGATAAAAGGGTGTATTAGGACTTGCCACTATTCCATTCTAGTGAATGGTAGGGTGGTAGA